GGAGCTGCAGCTGCCCGTTAGCAGGTGCTCCTCCCTCCCTTGCACTCAGCAGCCCTGGCACCCACTCCCCTGTGGGCATCCAGCACTGTGTCACGAGCAGGGGGGGCTTTGGGACCTCCCCACACTCCCTGGCCAGGCTGAAGCTTGTTGGGGCTTCCTTATTCCAACCAGCTAAGGGAAATGATTTAGGAGTGACCCATCCGGGCTGGAGTGAGCAGAGCTGGAGCATCCTGCCAGGCAGAGACAGCCCCGTGCCACCCTGGTGATCATCTCCCATCCTTTCTGCATGTGAAATCCAGGTGGGCTGTCTCTCCTCCACCCCTTGCTCTTCCTTCCCTGGCCATGGAGAAGCCCAGTTAGTCCTTTAGGTACAAATCATTTTGCTGCTGCTCAAGCTGAACGCGTAACGCGCGTCCCCCGCGTACCTTGACCCCCTGTTTAACCCCGGGCTGGTACTGGGCTGTGCCAGAGGGGAGCACATCGTGCCCCCATCCCTGCTCTGAGCTGAGCTGCACCACAGACCACCCCCTTCCCCTTCCACACCAGCAGACACAGCTTCTCCAGGCTGAGCCCAGCCCTGCTGCCAACCCAAAATCAGGGTGCAGCCAAGAATGCCAAAGCTCCAGGGAGAACAGGCAGCTGGGAGAGGCTTTCCCCCCTCCTGACCCCCAGAGTTAGGCCGGGTGTTTACGATGGAAACACCAGCACCGTGATGTCCTTGAGACTCCCACCTCAGCCCTGGCACCCCCATCACCCACACCAGGGTTCCGTGGGTGTTTGGGGATGGCAGAGCCCGACCTTGCCAGGCTCTGCTCTGCCACCTGCTCCCGGTATCTGCCTCTTCCCACGGGGCCACGGTAGTGCCACCGTTGCCTATTTGTGTGAGGGGGGGTCTCCGTGTGCCATCCCTGTGCTCCCTGCTTTCACCTGGCATGTCGTGCAGCTGTGCCAATCCCTGGCCACAGCCATGGGGTAGCAATGGGACACGCCAGGAACACGGCACCTGCTGGAGGAGCTCTCCTGCGTTTCCATAAACAAACTGTCCCGCTGTTAATTAGTGAGTTCAAGGGCATGTCAGGCTGGAGGCAGCTCTGCAGCTCATGGCGGGCTTGGCAAGCAGAGGGAGTCCTGCTGAGCCCTCCCAAGGCAGGGATTCCCGGGAAGGTGCTGCACACCCTCTGGCTGAGCTCGCTTCCCCTCCCTGGTCTTGGGTTTGAGCTGAAGCCGCATTCTTAACATCCCACAGCACCCGGTTGGTCATTAATCACCTCCCACCCAGTAAATCCACTGTTGGGAAAGCCAGGCTAGGAGTCGACGCAGGGAGGGCAGGTGACACAGTGGCCACCACGCCGTGGGTGGGACTCTGGCTTTACCACGGAGCATCACCCACCACCCCCAGACCGAACTGCTGCGGGGACCGATGGGCATGGCCGGGCGCTCCCGGAGCAGGCAGCACTCACGGAGCCCTTCCTGGTCTCTCCCAGGCCCAGCCCGCCCTGTGGCAGAGGCAGGTGGACTTTGCCCCCCCGGAAGACGCTGCACGCAGGGGTGCACGCAGGGCCCTCCGGGGATGCCGGCAGCGCCCGGCACCTGAGCACACCATGGCAGGTAGGTGAAATCCAAACTCTCACCTGCTCTCAGCTGGGAAGGGTCCCCATGCAGGCGCAGCTGGGGGTCCTGCTCTGGCTTCACCTCACAGGGTGGGAAAGGGTCCATCCCAGCCCCCCAAACCGGCTCAGCCTGTTGCTAAACAGCCCCGAGTGCTGCTCGCTGCCAGACCCCCACGGCAGAGCTTGTTTTTCCGGGATGGCTGCGACAGCAGGGAATTGGATCGGCTGTCCCATCCAAAGCCCCTCCCTGCTGTGCCCCCAGACCTCTGCAGCGTGCCCCCCGAACTCCTGGTCCCGGCTGCCAACGAGACGCTGGACCTGGCGCTGGGGAGCCGGGTCGTGCTGAACTGCACCGTGCGCTGGGCCGGGGCCGAGAGCTGCCGGCCCGTCCCTGCCTGGAGCAAGGATGGGCAGTGGCTGGGCAACGGGAGCAGCCAGGACACCTCCTGGTAAGGAGCCGGCCCTGGGGACATCCCTCCATCCATCCTGGGCAGGGGGTCACCACACAGCCCAACCCATGGCGGCCCCATCTCCCCTCAGGTCTGCCCAAAACGCCTCGGATCAGCTCCTGGCCACCGTCCTGCACCTCAACCTCACCCACGATGACGACTTTGGGGTGTTTGCCTGCTGGCTCAGCAACGCCACAGCCACCTTCACCCTGCAGCGAGCGGGTAGGGACAGGCTGGGGACAGGGAGGGGACACCCCCATGGAGAGCCCGCATGCCATGGGGGATTGATGCGGGTAATAGGGGCACTGCTGCATCTCCCGGGGTGCAAATCTCCACCAAACCCAGAAAACCCAGGAGAGGGCCACCGGCCACACTCACCGCGTCCTTCCCTGTCCTGGCAGAGACAGCGGGGCACGTGCCGGCGGTGCTGGCAGCCCTCCTGGTCCTGGCACTCCTGGTGCTCCTGGCTGTGCTCTACATCCGGTGCCGCCTGAACGTGCTCCTCTGGTACCGGAACCGCTACGGCGAGCTGGAGATCAACGGTGAGCCGGAGGGAACAGCTCCCCTGGGAACAGGGGGCCCACAGACCCCTCCCTGTGACACCCCGTGGCTCTCCCCAGACGGGAAGCTGTACGACGCCTACGTCTCCCACGCCACCGCCCCCGACGACCGAAAGTTCGTCCACTTCATTGTGAAGCCGCAGCTGGAGAACCGCTACGGCTACAAGCTCTTCCTGGACGAGCAGAACATCCTGCCCAACTCAGGTAGGCACCAGCCCCCCACGGGGCTGGGCAGGGGGGTCACACGGGCGCCCAGGGGCTTGAGACCCCTTTGCCCACAGAGCCATCAGCCGACCTGATCATGAACGTCAGCCGGTGCCGGCGCCTCATCGTGGTCCTCTCCGTGGCGTACCTGGAGCAGGATTGGTGCAACAGCAGCTTCAGGTAGGAGCGGAGCAGCTCCCGCGGGAGAGGAGAGGGGCTGGTGGGTCCCTCACCCCTCTGCCACGTACCTGTCTCGCAGGGAAGGGCTCTGGAGGCTGCTGGAGCTTTCCAGGAAACCCATCTTCATCGTCTTCGAGAGCCAGTACCGGGAGATCACCCACCCTGCCATCACCCTGCTGAAGCAGCACCGGAGCACCGTGACCCTGCTGGTGTGGCGATCCGGCTCCATGGTGAGCTCCGAGCTGGATCCTGACCCACTGGCACTCCCCTTCCATCCCCAGCACCCCTCTTTTTGTCAGCCTCCTGTGTCAGCCTCCCTGCTGCCCTCTGGGGCTGCTCCGTGGTGAGAGCTGAGCAGGACCGATCCCAGCAGCACCCCACTTCCGTTCCCAGCTCCCCATTTTGTGTCAGCCTCCCTGCTGCCCTCTGGGGCTGCTCCCCAGGCTCCAATGCTAAAGAGCAGCTTGGGGCACTCGTCTTTTAAGGGCAATTTAAAAATGCAACCAGAACAGCCCTGGATCTGGGTGCTTACCCCTAAACCCGCACAGTCAGGGCCCTGTGAGGTTCCGGGGTCTCCCCAGCCCCAGCTCTCGGAGCAGAGTTTTGGCCCGTGGCTGCTCCGGCCATTTCAGGGCCAGGCTGGGAGCTGGAGCCCTGAGGAGTGTTCCAGCAGGTCGGGCAGGTTTCTCTGCCGGCGCGTGGGCATGATGCCACACTGGAGCACGGCCCTCACCTTGGCTGAGCTCCCACCGCCAGGAAGAGTGAGCCAAACCTGTGAAACCCTCCCCAGCACCGTGTGGGGCCAGGCTCGGCTTTGCCGCGGTCCCAGAGTGGCTCATCTCTCCCCTGACCCCGCAGACCCCGTCGTCAGACTTCTGGAAGGAGCTGTGCCTGGCCCTGCCACGCAAGGTGTCCTTCCAGGGGAGCGTGGGGGACCCGCAGACCCAGCTGCAGGAGGACAAGGACCCCATGCTGATCCTACACAGCAGCTACCTGGACAGCACGGGAGACCTCGACCCAGAGGGGGACCTTGGCACAGGTCCGTGTCTGCTGCTGTTCCTCCTGGGGGGGACAGATGTGTGCTGGAGGTCACCTCTGGGCTTTGCCACCCCTTCTTGTGGCAGAGCAGGCTGGGTCCAGCTCCTTCTCCCCCGCACCTAAATCCATCTCCCTGCTCCTGCCAGGCCTCCGAGGGCGCATCTTCGGAAGCCCCCCGCCCCCCCGCCTGGGCGCTCCCGGCACTCCGGCTGCCAGTGGGACGGAGGACGTGCAGCTCCGGGACGGCCACAGGCCCGAGATCGACGTCTCGGACCTGGGATCGCGCAACTACGGCGCCCGCACGGATTTCTACTGCCTGGTGACAGAGGATGACATCTGAGCAGAGCCACGGGCCAGAGACACGGTGTTCCCTGTCCCCGCAGGGACACCCAGACCAGGTCACGGCAGAGGAGCCCGGGCATTATGATGGGACCGGAGCCACGGTCATGGCGGGAGAGCAGGAGCTGGCTCTGCGGTGGAAAACCGTCCCCAGGAACGCCCTGCCCACACTACCACCCCTGGGTGCTGGGCCCCGTCCCTCGCCGTGGGCGGCAGGGACATTCTTCCTGCGTGATGGACGAGCGCCGGGATGGGCGATGCCCTCCGAGGAGCAACTGTGCCCCAGCCCCAGGGAGTGCCAGGCGGGAGTGGCGGCAGCATCTCTGTCCCACGGGAACCCCGTGGCAATAAAAGGCTGCTGCACCCAGTGGGTCTGTCCACGGCACGGACAGGGGTGACATGAGGCGGGGGTTTCCCTACCACGGGCAGCAGGGTGGGCAGCTCTGTGCTGCGTCCCTCCCACACCAGTGTCCCTGTCACACTGACTCAGAGCCACACCGGGCACAGTGAGTGGGGTGGCACTGCAGGGTGAGCTCACCCCATGCTGGTTACCCCGAGGTCTTGGTGTCCCCGGGGTGCTGTCCCCCCTCCCACGTGCCAGCCAAGCGCAGGGGCAGGTGGGCATCGTTCAAGGCCTTTATTTCAGGGGTACACAGGGCTCAGGGGGGTTGTACACGGAGAGCTGGGGAGGCAAACACCCCGTGACCCCCAGCCAGGACCGCGCCGGGTGCTGCTCACCGAGGGGGCCAGGCCTGGATGCAACCCTTCTGGCAGCACCACCCACTTCCCCAAACCCTCCCAGCCCTCTACCTACTCTACCTCGTTCCCCCCGGGGTGCGCTGTGCCCCCAGCCCCAAACCCGCTGGCAGCCCGAAGCCACCCCCCAGCCCACCCGCCTGGCCGAGCTTTGGACCTGCTGCCCCACCTGTGCCCAGCACCGAGGCAGCTGGGGGCACCGGGGGCATCTCCCCACCCACGGGGCGACGCCGCTCAGCAAACACGACCCGGTCAGCCCTGCCCGGATCCTGCTCCCGCCGTGCCAGCTGGGCCCAGCCCTGGCAGCAGCTGGGGAGGAGCGGCAGCGGCAGCTCTGCCACGCTGGGACAGTCCCCACGGGGTGACAGATGGGCTCCAGGGACACCCCTGGTTTCCTGCAGTGAGGGCACGGGCAGCCCCAGTCACACACATCCCTCTACCCGCCAGCACCGGCAAAGGGGGCACGCAGCACCACATCCCGCTCCCTGCAGCCCCTGTGCCACCCTGTTAACTGTGGGAAGCCACCTCAGAGCCCTCTAAGCCCCCCAAGCCATGCAAAGCCCCGTCCCCACCCAGCTGGGGCACAGCACACGTATTCCACAGCACATCCCACACTGGCACGGGGCACCAACACCCACCCAGCTCAGGGAGCTGGGATGAAGCAGCCCTGAAAGCCCCCCTGACCCAGCGTTGCTCTACAGGAGCCTTCCCAAATCCCTGTGGTTCCTGCCCCTCTGTCAAGATGCGGGACAAGCCAAGTTTTGCAGCCAGCTGCCTGAGGGTGGGGAGGGTCCCCAGGGGGTGCTGTGAGGCAGACCCCTACTAACGGGGTCCCTGTGGGGCCCCACAGCAGAGCCAAAAGCAGCCTCTGGGTTTAAGGCTGGGCAGGAGGGAGGACACGTGTCCCTCAGCAGGGGAAGGGGACCCAGCAGAGGGGGAGGCGCACGGGATGTGGTGGGGACTAGGCTACAGAGGGGGGGTCTGATGGCGAGCAGCCTCCCCAGGGCATGGCCGGCAGCACGGAGCATCCCAGCAGGGCATTCCAGCTCCCAGGGTGTCCTCACAGGCTGAGGAAGTCCTCCTTCCGGTACCCCTTCTGCAAGGAGACAGACCCCCATCACCCGGGGCAGTGGGAATGTGCACATGGACCCCTCTGCTCCAGCACCCACAGGCCACGCCGTCCCCACCCCATCAGCACAGGGACAATGCTCTGGGAAGTCCACACCTTTCAGAAGGGCCAGGCATGGAATGGGGACCCACCGTGTGCCGGGAAGCACTTGGGTGGTGCGGCTCTCCAGGGTGAATCCCCTGGCCTTGATTCCCTCGGGATGCCCCCCAGACTCCCCCCCCAGGATGTACGAGGCTCCAGAACGGGTACGTACCATCTTGAAGTCCCGGTGGAGCTTGGTGTACTGCCACATGTTTCCCAGGAGGCTGGCTGCGGCTCGGGAGGACTTCTCGTTGTCCGAGCTGGGACAGGGACAGGATGCAGTGAGTTTTGGGGATGGCTGAGCACAGGATGGTGCCCACCAGCCCAAGGAGACCACCCCAGAGGGGCCTGGAGGGACTGGGGGCTCAGCACGGGTGGGGAGAGGCAGGAGGCGAAAGGCTGGAGCAACAGGCAGGAGGGAGGAGAAGCATCCTGATGGGAGAATGTGGCTGCAGCAACGGTGGGGTGCCCTAAGAGGGTGGCCCAGGGATGGCAGGAGGCCACGAGGCCACTCTGAGCCGGTCTGGGGACTCCCAACACCAAAGGAAGGGAAGGGAGACTTGTTGTGACCCTCTTCCACCGCGCTGGACCGGGGGAGGAAGCGAAGAGCAGGACGGGAGCCCAGGTGGGAGCTGGGACAGCCAGGAGGACAGGGAGTACCCACCTGTCCCGTCGCTTCTTGATGAAGAAGAGCTTCCTGAGGCCGTCGAAGTAGACGATGTCGCGGGCAGCCATGGGGCTCTCCACCACCAGGTTGTTGAGCACGGCGATGATGTTCACGATGACATCAGCGGGCGGTGCCTTGTCCCCCACGCTCCCGGGCAGCTTCTCGATCAGGTGGCTGACCACCTTGGTGGCTGCGGGCAAAGGGCATGTCAGGGCTAGTGGCCAGACCCAGGGGACACGCAGCAGTCCCCGGGCGGCAAGGAGGGGACAGAGGCTGGAGCCGTGTCTGGGAACAGGGGATGGACCAGCCCGCGTGCTGAGCTGTGAGCAGGGATGGAGCAGGCAGGACGGGGCTGGGACGTGGCTGGGGTTAACTGCAGACCGGGCCGAGGAGGAAAAGGTTGCAAGTCACCTGTTGGGCAACCCCCCGACCCCAGCCTCGCGTGCCGCCTGGCACTCACACATCTCATCCTTGTTTCGGGCGTGGCGGGACAGGTTGCGGATGAGCCCGGTCAGGGAGCGCAGCTGGTGGTGGTCGGCGGTGCGGACACGGTCCAGCACGGGGTTCAGGATGCGCTCCTGCTCCAGCGCCAGCCGGCTCAGCACCCCTGCCCACTGCGGAGGGAAACACACCTGCTTGGAGCCTCCCGCGGGCACCCACCGCTCCTCCTCCGCTTCCTCCTCCGCTTCCTTCTCCTCTCCCTCCTCCCCCTCCTCTTCCTCCTCCTCCCCTTCCTCCTCCCGCTCCGAGGGGCCGGGTCGAGGTGACCCCTGCCCAGGTGATGACCGAGGAGAGGAGGTGCCTCCCCTTCCGGAGGTGTCCCCCATTCCCAGGCACAGTCGTGATGGCCACGCGGTGGGGACCACCAGGCTGGCCCCGGGGACCCCCGCGCCTCACCCTGCGGTCCCCGGCCGTGATGTTCTGCAGGGCGCCCGAGGCCGCCTCCGTCGTGTGCTTGTTGAGCTCGCAGCGCTGCAGCAGCCGGTTGTAGATGCCCACGATCTGCGGGTTCCAGAGCCACTCCATCCCCTTGGGGTCCTTGGAGACCTCCGTGAAGGTGACGATGTCCGCGTTCAGGTAGTGCTGTGGGACGGGGGCACCATTAGACTCAAGAGGTGGCCCCTCCGCAGTGTCCCCCCCCGCCGGTGTCCCCTCCTCCCTGCCTGGGCAGGGACCTGGCAGGTCACCCCGGCTGCGTCATGCCCCGTGGCATGGAAAAGCGGGGGTTCAGCACCCTGATTCACCCTCTGCTGAGCTCACCCGTGTGTCCCACCCACCCGAGGCTGGCGTCCACCTCCGCCCCAGCACCACCTCTGCTGCCGGCGCTTCCCAGCGCCAACCCCGCCCCGGTGACACGGCCACCACATGCCCCCGCTGACCTCACGGGCTTTCTTGCTCTGGGGGCTGAAGCAGCCCACCAGCTCCCCCGTCACCGTGCCGCCGGCGCCCCTCCTGTGGCCCTCGAGGCGCTGGAGCGAGGACGGGGGCATCTCGTCGTACAGGCGGTAGGAGAGGTTGCGCAGGACACAGACCGCGTTCTCCACGCTCTGGGGGCGAGATGGGACATGATGGTGCCATCCTGTGCCACCTGCCAGGTTGTCCACAGCTGGCACAGCCCCCGGGGTGCGATCCCGGGGGGCTCCGTGCCCAGCCACGACATCCAGGGAGCCCGGATGGAGCCGGGCTGCTTCTCCCACCATCACATCTAAGATGTGCCTTTGCACCACGACAGCCACCAAGAGGGGGGAGCAGCACCTCAGCCCCCCCCCACCACCACCCAGGACTCACCTTGTCCTCTGACTTCCCCACTTCCAGGGAGCTGTTTACGTAGTGGATCATGGAGTCCACCAGCCCATGGCACTCTCGCATCTTCTGCCGGGTCTGTTGGCTGGCAGAGCTCAGGTTCCTGCATGGGAATGGGGGTCCGTCATGGAGAGAAAGGGATCCCCCACAGCCCCCTCCTGCCCCAGGCACCCCATGGAGGGGGCAGCCGGTACCTCCCCATGGGGCTGACCAGACTTTGCTGGGGTACACAAGTGGGAAGGACCCCAGAAACAAGCCCTGCAGACCCTACTCTTACATCTCTTCCTCAGCCCAAAACTTTGCCCCCAGTGGGAGCACCCAAAACAGGTACCTGAGGAAGCCTGTGGAGTTATAAAAGATCTCTGCCTCTGAGGGGTTCTGCTGGATGACACCCGAGCCCCCCAACCCAGAGAGGGGGACCAGGACCAGGTCCGTGAGCTGCTCCAGCGTGTCCCGCGCCAGGCGATCCTTCAGGTTGTCGCTGGAGGAGAGATTCCACAGGATCCCTGCACAGAGGGGGGGGGGATCCTCAGTTCCAGAATGGCTAGAAAGCACATCCACCCCAACTCACCTCCCTGAGGGGGGCTCGTACTGACCACCCGCAGCCAGGAGCAGCCGTGGGGCAGGGCGCGTGACAAAGGACGCAGAGGGGTCACCCCCGTGCAGCATCATCCCAGCCCTGCTCACAGGGTGGGAGGGGGGAGTGCAGTGCCACCCCCGGGGGAGGGGACCCCTGCCCACCCCGCCGTCGTCCCCAACCTGTGACGTTCTTGCGGAGCTCGTCGTCGGGCTCTCTCAGCGTGCGCATGAGCTCGTAGATGCCGTTCTCCTCCACCAGCGCCAGCTTGTTCTCGGCGTTGTCGTAGATGAGGTTGCGCATGGCGCCGGTGGCGTGGCGCTGCACCTCCTGGTTCGGGCTGTTGAACAGCTTCACCAGCTTGGGCATGGCCTGCAGGCTGCGGGCCTGGGGGACAGCCCAGGGGGTCAGACACGCCGCGCTCCCAGGGCTCCCTCCAGCCCTTCCTCCCCCCTGGGGCACCCGCTGTGCTGGAGGGGCCGGGGCACCCCCTTCTCCCACGGCTCGGGGGGCTCACCTGCTTCTTGGCGCTGCTGTCGCTGTAGCACTTGTGCTGCAGGTAGGCAGCGCCCAGCACCTGCAGGTTGGGGTCGCTGGCTATCAGGTACTTCACTGCCGAGGGCAGGTCGATGTCGTCAAACCTGGAAGCACAGCCAGGTGAGGGGGAGCCCCAGCACAGTGTCCCGCAGGGTTCTCCACCTCTGCACCCACCACATCCCACTTCTCTGAGAGCCCCACCAAGCCATCTCCCTCTTCACCACGTCCCACATCTCCTCGGAGCCTCCCAGCCCATCTCCTTCCCACTGCACTCCAGGGCGTGGGACTCCAGTCCCAGCAGGATGAGCACCTTCCTTTCCCTGTGTCTCAGGATGTGTCCAGGAAGGAGCCAAGGCCGCAGGCAGGACACACTCAGAGGTCAGCCCGTGCCACGGAACCAAGCCGTGCCCACCATCCCACCCCTTCTCCCGCATGCCTTGTGCCTGGTGGGAGCTGGAGGGGTTCACCCTCATGGGTGAACCTCATAAGCGTCCCCGGAGCAGCCCCGTGGCACTCACCCCCCGGCGTGGTGCCCGAGCAGTGTCCCGTGCCCGTTGTACATCTCCATGGCGCGCGGCTCCGGGAGGTGGTGGCCAGACTCGGCCAGGCTGCGCACGGAGGGGGCGCGGGAGCTGTGCTCCCCCAGCCCCAGGAAGGCGCCCGTGCCGCCCGCGGACACTCCGCCGAAGGAGCCGGCGCTCAGCCGCGAGCGGTTGTTGCTCTGGAAGCGCTGGAGCGTCCGCATGGCGGGCGCGCGGATGGTGCGGCTCGGCGGCCCCTCGGCCCCCTCCAGCCACTCGCAGCCGGCCTTGGCGGCCGTGCCGGCGCTCAGCTGCCGCTCGAAGGCGAAGGAGCGGGCGAAGCCGCCGCCGCCGCCCTGGCTCTTGTAGAACGGGCGGTGCCCCGGCGCGTCCAGCTGCTCCGAGAGGACGCTGTAGCGGTCGTCGACGAGGCCGGGGGGCTGCAGGGGCCCGTCCGCCAGGCGCAGGGAGCGCAGCGACAGCGTGTCGAAGTTCTGCCGGCTGCGGTAGGTGCGCTCGTGGAAGGAGCTGGGCCGCGGCGAGGTGTTGGCCGCCTGCGAGGCCGCGTAGCCGGCGCCGTAGCCCCGGGCTTTGGCCAGGCCCCCGTTGCTGATGGTGGCCACGCGCTTGTGCGGGGTGAGGTCCACGGCCGAGCGGGAGGACCAGCCGCTGCCCCGCAGGGTGCCGAAATCCTTCTTGGCCAGCGGCTGGTACAGCTGGGGGGGAAAGCAAGGGCTTAGGAAAGGCAAGAGTCCATCCCTCCATCCCCACTGCAGGAGAGGAGAGGATGGAGCCCAGAGCCCTCCTCTTGGCACAACCGAAGCTACAGTGGAGGCTGGGTCTCTGCCGGCATCCCCAGGCAGCACAGTGATGGGCACCAGTGCGGGGGATAAACCCCCCAGTACATACCGAGGCTTTGGGGTCCACACCATTGCTCTGGGAGCGGGAGCTGAAGGAGGAGTGCAGGGTCGTGCCGTACTGACCACCTGAGGGACAGCGACAGAGGGGTCAGTGCAAGCATAGACGGGTAAAAGGGAGTCCTAGGGATCAAAGACCCCTCCCAGCTCATCCCAGGGGGACCTGCTGTGGGAGCCATGGCAGCGCCAGTGGCTCTGGGGGGATGAAGGGGTAGGAGGAGGCTGCCTTCACCTGCCCGCTGGCCATGGGGAGCAGAAGTGGCCTCCCCGCCCTGCATCGTGCCCCGACGGCGAGGGCACTAATTGCCACCTTGGCGGGGACGCGGCGGCTCAGCCCAGTCCCCTCTGCCACAGCCGGATCAGCAGCACAGGCAACCCCCAAAGACAGTCCTGGCTTCTCCTGGGATGGGACCCTGATGGGATCTGGACACCCCACTGGGCCCATGGGCACCTCACACTGCCCATCTGCTGTGCCAGCGCCCCAGGGCTGCCGGCAGGACAGGACGGGGACACCGCCAGCCCGGGTGGTGCCGGGAGTGTGACTCACGCCTGCACCTCGGGCAGCCCTCAGGGGGCCAAGGGGGGGTCTGTCCCCACCGCTGGGGTCCCCCAGCACAGGGCTGGGGGGCTTGGGGATCCTGCACAGTGCCGGGCGAGGCGGCAGGGCGGAGGCTGCCGGCGCAGACGTTAAATGGAGGAGCTGGAGCCTGGCCAGTGGTGCCGCTCAGGGACGGGGGGGCTCTGCCAGGGCGGGAAAAACCGTCCCCCTCCCAGCCCAACGTGAGGCACGGGACCCCCCCCAGTGCAAATCCCTCCTGGGGCAGGTGGGGGAACTGAGGCAGGACCCCGAGTGTGGCGAAACCAGGCCACGCTGGGGGCCGTGCTACCCCTGTCCCAGTGCTGGGGGTGCTCGGGGGTGTTCGGGGGGCTCGGCCAGGGTAGGGGACACCCCCAAACCCCCAGCCAGGGGTGTGGCCGCATCCCAGTGCCACCCAAGGGGCTCCCACCGCGAGTGCCCCGGGGGTCCCGACTGGTCTCCCACCTCTGCTGCCGTCGGCGATGTCCTCGGGGCGGGTGGGCGCCGCGTTCCCCCGCAGCATCATGCGGATGCGGACCTGCTCCTGGACGCGGGCGCTGCGCAGCCTCTGGGTCTCGGCCGCCTCCCGGCCACGCTCGTCCAGCTGCCGGTCCGAGGGCAAGGCCAGGGAGCAGACGCCGGCCTCGGGCTGCAGGGCCGACAGCAGGAAGGCGTTAGTCTCCTGCATGGCGGCGGCGCGGGGGGCCCCGGCCAGCCCGGCCGCCCTGCGCAGGTGAGCGGCGGCTCAGCGCTCCCCAGCCCTAGGGAGGCTCCGTCCCGGCCCGTCCGGCCCGCCCCGCTGCCACGCCTCGCCGCCGCCGCCGGCGGGAAGGAGGGGGCCCCACCGGGGCCACCGGCACCGTCGTCAGCGGCACCACCGGCACCGCCGCAGGTGGAGGAGCCCAGGGGCGACCTTGCGGGGACGAGGGCGTGAGAGAGGCGGGTGGTCCAGGGGTCTGGGGGGAGGTCATACTTTGGGAAAAGCCAGGATCCCCTCGGGTAGCTGTCTCCTTTACCTCCTAGGAGAGCCCTGGACCCCCCAGCAGCCCCCCTGTTGATCCCCAGAGATCCACGTGGCCCTGACACTGAGTCCCAGACCCCCACACTGTCCCTCCAATGAGCCCTGGAGTCTCACATGGTCTCCTAGAAGAGCCCCAGACAATATTCCCATTAACGCCCAGAGACTCACATGGCCCTGACGCTGAGCTCCAGACTCCTACATTGTTCCTCCAGTGAGCTCGAGACCCCCAGGGAACCTCCTAGGAGAGCCCTGGACCCCCATATGACCTCTCTGTAGAGCTCTGGACCTCTGCATTGTCCCTCTAACGAGCCCCAGACCTCCGTATGGCCTTCCAGGAGACCCCTGCACTCCCAGGAAGCTCCACAGCCAACCCTGCACCTCCCACATTACCCATCACTAAACCCCAGTTACCCTCCCCAGGCACCCCCAGACTCCTGAGCCACTTCCCAGGGTCACCCTGAACCCCTCGGCAGCCCCACAAGGACCCCAAGCCCCCGGGTGCCCCTTGGGTACTGGGGGCCAGCCCGGAGCAGGGTCTCCCTGCAGTAATTCCTGGCCGGGCCCTCCCTGCTTTGCTTTTCAAATCAGCCGGGGAATTAAAAAACAACAATAATAAAAAAGGGGCGGCTGGGCGCCGCGGGCCCGCGGTGACGAACGCGGTGACTCAGCCCCTGCTGCCACCACAGGTACTAATTAGCCTCGCCCCACCTGCCGAGCCCGGCACGGCCGGACCGGGGGCCACCGCGTTCCCCCACAGCCCAGCGTGCTCAGGATCAGCTCCCAAATTCCCCCCCTCCCGCAGTGTCAGGTCACGCCGCCCTCCCGCCGCAGCCCCAGCTCTCTGACCGAGCTGCTCATCCCTGCCCTGAGTTGCGGCCGTTCTCAGCCACGGCCGGGCAGCGGCTCTGGCCCTGCTCGGGGACGCGGTGGCTCGTCCCCGGCCGGGCTGGGCGGTTTGGGGCGAGCGTGGCCACGCGGGCCCGGCTGCACAGCCAGCCCTGGCTCAGCGCTTGGCGTCACCGCGTTCCGGGCTGGGCCGGCTTTACAACACCCGGCGGATGACACCAGGTTTGCGCTTCGGTCGGGGGTGAAAAGGGCGGCTTGTCCCCGAGGAATGTGCCGCCGTCAGCAGGAGCCGAGGCTGGGGCGGGGTGGCAAGAGCTGCGGGCCAGCGTTTTGGGGTGACAGTCCCCTGGTGGCCTCCCCAGAACCCTCTCAGTGGCACCGTCGTGCCAGGGACCCACCTCCCCGCCTGCGGGGGGGCTCCAGCCCCGCGGGTTTGTGCGGGGGGGTCACGGCTCAGGGGTCACGGCTGACGCTTTTGGGGTACGGCACGCAGGAAGAACCCCGAGGCTCCCCCCTCTTCTCCCACCTCGGCACCGCCCCACGGGCGCACCGGGTTTGGCAGAGCTCGGCGGGCGCTCCCAGCGCTCCGAGCCCGGATGAATCACGGGTTCCCCCCGCAGCGGGCGGGGAGGGGGCGGGTCGCTCCCTCTGCAAGCCAACGCTTGCCCGCCCTCCCCGTGCCAGGATCCCGGGAGATCGGGGCCATCCCGGGAGCCCCCCCCAGCCCCAGGGGACAAAGGGACACCCACAAGCCCACTGGCAGCCCCGCTCTCCCCAGCTCTACCTCCCGACGGTACCCTGCAGCTTCCAGGTGGAACCCGGGGGGTCTCGGGGGGTTTGGGGTAGGTTTGGAGCCGGAACGGGCAGCGCTCGCCTCGTCAAGCGGCTCCCTAATTGGGGAAGGGTCGAACGGGACGGGGATGCACTAAGGGACTTAAAAACAGCAAATCGGCACAAAACAAACAAAACGCAACCAACCAAGCAAACAACAACAACAAAAAAAACAAACCAAAAAAACCATAACAAAACCCACCAAAAAACAACACAAGACATTCGGAGCTAAACCGAGGGATTCCCGAGAGGATCCGACCGCAGCCAGAGCGATACAGAGTTAAACAAACTCAGTCGGGGCGCCCTTGAGGCTGTTGCTGACCCTCCCTCAGCCTGGAGGCACCTCTGTCACTCCCTCGTGGGGTGACAGAGCCACGTTTCCCAGGGAGACCCAGCTCCTGGGAGCGCCGCATCCTCTCCCACTCCCCCTTGGCCCCTGAGCACCCCCGAGCGCCCATCCCCACGCCCGGGTCCCCCAGGGCTGGCCGTGCCCGCCGGTGCCATCGGCGTTTGGGCAGGGAGTGGCCGGCGCGGCTCACACGCAGCCCGGCCACCGCACGCACGTGCCAGGAGCCACACCAGGGACACCGAGGCACGAGGAGGGAGGGAAAAGCCTCCTGGCCACAGCTGGACAGAGTCTGGCAGCCGCCAGACCCAGCAGCTGGAGCCCCAGACCCCTGGCACCAGTGGGTGGGGACGGGTGGCAAGGGTGGGTGGCACCGGCTCTCCCCGGGGACCCACGGTGGGACGGCCACTGCGATGGCCACGCGACCGACTGGCACGTACCTGGCTGGGCGGCCCCGAGGGGCCGTTGCCCTGCAGCATCCTCCCGGCAGGCAGGTGCACCCCTGGGTGCTGCAGAGGGGTGCGGGTGGGCGCCGGCGTCTGCGGCGGGCGTGGGGTGCGCGGGGCCCGCCCCGCACCTCGCCCAACCAGTCTCCTCGCCGAGGTTTTGCATGGAACCTGCTCGCCTCCCCACCGAGGCTGGGCTTTCGGGGCTCCTCAGAACCGCCGGCACAGCGGGAGTGCCGGTGGAGGGTCCGGGGGGTCCTGGCCCTGCCGGTGCAGCCGCGTCCCAGCCGTGTTCACGGTGCTGTAAAGAGCCCCCGAGGATCCCCACCGCCACCATGGCCGTGATCCAACGTGTCCTTCTCACCTCATCCCCATGAATCCCCAGCACGGGCCACCCCTTGGTGCAACAGGGAGGGATCGGGGGTGCCGGAGGGAGAAGATGGAGGGGAGGTAGAGCTTGGGGGGCACACAGATTTTTTGGGATGCAGGGGGGCTCCCCCAGGTTTGCAGGGAGCATGTTTGTGTGCGTGGGATGGAGCAGGAGCCCTTTGAAGCCAGATAAGCTGAGAGGGAGCATTTGAAACGGGCCAAACCAGTTTGGGGGCCACCACTTACCCCGGCACCGTGGCGCAGGTCCCCCCCCCACACCCCACAATCGCCGGGGGCTGCTGAGAGGGGACCCTTGGCAGTGCCTGGCCCAGGGCTGGAGGCTGCCAGGACCCTCCACACAGCCACTGCTGTCACGTGTAGCCTGTTCTCAGCCAGGGGCTGTTGGGAGGCTCCTGTGCTCCCTCTGCCCTCCACAACCCCTTTGGTGGGGGGCAGCCCCTCGGTGAGGCCACTCCAGGCTGGCATTTGCCTCTGCACCCTGGACAAACCCCAACGCTTTTGCAGTGTCCCCGCAGGGCAGGGAGAGCCAGGGCTGATCCTCCAGGAGTGGGGACCTGCCTGCACCCCGCTGTCACCTGGGGCTTCAAGACCCAGCCCAGGAGAGGCTCCCTGTGGCTCCTGCAATCCCCATGATCCCTGTGTCATCCCATAGCCACAGCTCAGCCACCACCTGAGAAACAAACCCTCCGGCGCTGTGCTGCTGGCCCTGCCCCAAGCAGACACCATCAGCCGGCCCCAAATCGTCCCCAGCATCAGTGGGGATGGCACTGGTGCCACCAGTCCCTCCCAGCACCAGTGGCAGCTCTGGCTTTGGCTGGGCCTAGTGCCCGCTCCGGTGCTGGTGGCTTTTGGAGCTCTCCCAGTTGGGAAGCTGCTGGAAAAGCTGTGCCTAAGGCCAGGCAGGTTTTGGGATGCAACTGGTGGCCTGGGGGGCCATGGGGCCACCCGCTCTCGCCCAGCCACAGACCAGCTCCCGGCGCAGCAGGCACAGCCCTCACCCACAACAAAGCGCTTCCAAAGTGCTGGAAAAAGCAGGGAGCAGGGCAAGGAGAGGGGAGAAACAACCGCTGCCTGCCGGGACAGTCCCCTCCTGGCAGATCCTGGGGCCAAAGGGACCGAATCTGGAATAAAAAGCCCACAGACCGCAGCTGTTTGCTGATGGCACGTGGGTGGCTGAGCCCCCCATGTCCACCCTCACCCCAGACTCTGGGGATGCTCCGAGCGAGCCCGGGGGATGTGGGGGAATGAAACACTCGGGGGGACACTCCGAGGCTGTTTCAGCTCTCCCAGGGGAGCAGCCCAGGGGATCTGGGGGGACAGGGTGACTTGGAGCCCTTGGTAGGCGGGACACAACAGAATCCCCGAGGTGCCACCACAGCCAGGCACGGCCACGGGGAAGCACCAGCGCAGAGCTGGGGCACTGGCGGGCACGGACAAGTGTGCCAGAGTAGGCAGGAGCACACGGAGCCACTCATGGCTCCCCCCTGGCTGCCCTGCCCAGGGCAGCCCCCCATGGAGCCTGTGGGGTGCCGGAGGCTGCCCGGGTGGAGCCCAGGTGTGGGGTGGAGGCTCAGCAAGCCCAGGCATGCGGCTGGGCATTAAAGAGGGTGCCTCCTCCTCCTTCTCCTCCTCCTCCTCCCAGCACAGAACGCTGCTGCCTGCTCTCACCACGGGGAGGGGACCCTTAGGGACCAAGGGACAGAGGCCAACCGGCAACCCTGCCCAGGTGTGGGGATGATGGAGCAGAGGGAAATCCCAGCCAAGACATTGATTTTATTTTTTTAAGAATAAAAAAAAACCAAACCCAAACAGACAAAACTTCCTGAAAACAGCTTCCTACCTTATAATTTCACAGAAATTAGCTTGGAAACGTCATCTGCCCGTACCTGCTGCAGGCTCTGCCCTATCCCCACCCCAGCCCAGCCTCCCCTGGGGCTCTGCCCCCCACCCACATCGTGTCCCCAAATGCAGGGCACAGCCAGACCCTCCTTCCCTCCACAGGGGTTCCACAGGTCCTGGAAGGGGAGCAGGAGCATTAGGGTAGCCCCAGTGGGTTCAGAGCCCCCTCATACCTGTGGGTACCGGCAGCTCCCCCAAAGCTCAGCTCCCCAGCCTGACATAGGGACGAGGTACTTGGTATTTTGGGAGGGACAACAACAGGAAAGGGGCTGCAAAGTGAGCTCCAGTGGGGATCCTGGGTGCCACTATTCCACTTCCATCATCCCCAGTCTGGCACAGCCTCCCAGGACCCAGCACAGCCCCTTGGGACCTGGCCCAGCCCCCCTGGGACCTGCCATCCTGGCACAAAGGAGTTAATAAATTCGTTGCTGACTAAGAAATTAGACCCTTAAGAAAACAAACACCACCCACCTCGGCCCTCCCCGCTCCCCCTTCCCCAGGATAACTGCAGTGGGTGCTGGGGCACCCTCCGTGCCGGCACCAGGGTGTGGCAGTCGGGGACAGGGGGGCACCGGGGTTTTTTGGCTACGGGCCAGGCTCGGGGGCTATTCCTTGGAGGGCTTCTTGCTGCGGGCGTTCCACATGCCGCGCTTGGAGTGGTAGTAGTGGTAAAAGTTCCTGAGGCGCAAGCGCTCCACCTCCAGCCCACTCTGGAGCACCCTGTGGATGGAGGGACGGGGCTCAGGGACGGAGGGACGGGGCTCAGGGACGGAGGGACGGGGCTCAGGGATGGACGGACGGAGGGATGCGGCTCAGGGCATGGATAGACAGAGGGACAGGGCTCAGGGAGGGACGGACAGAGGGATGGGGCTCAGAGATGGATGGACGGGGCTCAGGGCATGGATGGATGGAGGGATGGGGCTCAAGAGATGGATGGACGGGGCTCAGGGCATGGATGGATGGAGGGATGGGGCTCAGGAGACGGATGGATGGAGGGATGGGGCTCAGGAGACGG